GGGGGGGGGGGGGCAAAATGATTTGAATGATTTTAACGCTCTAATTCGCACAGATTCATTGTCCGAGCGGAAGTCTCGCAAGGGACGACTGTACCTGGTCAAGGTTTTGCCCTCAAGTGAAGGTTTTCCTTGGCCCTCGGCGAATACGGTACAGGGGGTTGGGAGGTGGGAAGGGAACATATCGTAAAAGCCCGAGAAGGGTATACGAAAGACCAAAAAAAAAGATAAATTTCACTTATTGCACTTCACCACTCAACTACAAACCTAATAAAAATTAATCAATTTTTATTTTCCTAGGAACGACAAAATGCTTAAACTTGTCATATTCCTCGCTTTGGCTGCATCAGTCTCCTCTAACGCAATCATGCCTTCGCAACCCGACACCTCCAGTAACGTACAGAATATCAGAAAAATCGGGGACGCCCCGGGTGTGCATGCATTACAACCCAACTTCCCAGGGTTTCCTGAATACGACCCTTCAAAATACAAAGCCTACCACTTGGTTCCCGCTGAAGATTCACGCCAGACCCCCATCGGATGGTCGTCCGTCATCGCTTCTGGCTTAGTACCTATAGGAAGTTTCGCCCTGACGTATGGAGGTCGTGCAGTTCTTCTCATCGTTCAATTCTTAGTTCTCATGATTGTTGGAATTATTATAACGACTTCCCTGTGTACCTTTACGCCTCTCTGCACCATTACCTTCCAGGGATTTGGATTAACTCATACTCAAGTCAAGGAGCAAGTACAAGAGCTTGCAAGGGCGTACATTACGCCTGATGTTCTGAATATGACGTCCTTATTGGTGACGACCGCAATGGAGAACTACATGGAAGCGAATCGCTCAAAAGAGGAGAAAACGCCGGAGCAAAAGATGGCCAAAAATGTGGCAAATCCACAGAGACGAAGACGTCGCCGATCAAGTCAGCAGGGAAATGATAAAAAAGAATCGCGTCACATGCAACAACTTTGAAAAGTCATAAAAGCACAGCAAAGATAACTTGTGGTTTTGTATTATCTCTGGAAGGAAGAGGTCGAGAAAAATTTCTTGGAAGCCATTTTTTTCAAAATGTTATGGACTACAAAAAACGTTTGTAGAAATTTCAGATAAATCTACTAGTTTTAGACCTTTTGTAACATGACCTGCCTGTCGATTTTAGATTATTATTCATCTACAGACTTACAAAATTCTTAGGGGAGAGTGGGGCAAAATGAAACAGTCAAAAAAACGGCGGTTTGGCGCAATTGAAGCAAAAAAAAAATTTTATTAAATATTTTTTTATTAATTTTTTTTTATTCTTGAGAGTACGGATGACAATAATAATTTTCCATTCAGTAGAATGGAAAACTATTGAGAAGTTTTGACAGGTGAAGATTTTGTGAATGGTTTAATTGAAAAGAAAATGAAACAACAAAATCCAAAGTTCACAGCAAGGCCCAGGGGGAGACCCAGAGGGGCAAAAAGGAAAATGCGATGCTAAATTTCAATCGAATAATCCATTGACAAAATCGTCGTCCATCAAAACTTCTCAATAATTTTGCATTCTACTGAATGGAAAACTATTATTCTTATCATGATTGTCATCTATCTTTTATTCTTATCCCAAGAATAAAAGAAAGTTGACAAAAAAAATACTTAATAAGAAAATTGCGTCAAACAGTCGTTTTTTTTACTGTTTCATTTTGCCCTACTCACCCCTATAAAAATTAGTGATTTTAGAAGGAAAGAGCAAAAAACTCGTAAAATCCATAAAATTTTCTAGAAAACATGTCGGACGATGATTTCTTCGAGCACCCTTCATTATCGATGTAATTAAACAATTAATGTAGAGATTAATGTTGACTCTCTTCATTACATTCAACCTTTTATTTATCATTAATTTGTAATAGTATAATAAAATAACATTGTATTTGTCACTGATCATTGTATGAAAATCCATAGAAAACATGCAACCATTGAACTGAATATAAAATCTATAATTCATGACCATGACTATATCAACAGTTTAATCATTATCACCAGTGGTTTTTCCCACATTCTCTTATTCTTATTCCTCTTCCACTTCTGGTAATTGCTGTGGAGCGCCAACGACCGTCCGGCCGGTTTGGAGGTGGAATACGTTGGGAGTAGATCGTGAGCCTGAGACGCAACAGTCGTTTCGGAGACGGTAGAGAGGAATATTCAATTGCAAATTCAGTTTCTACGAATGAAGTTATTATGAAGTTCAAGTTTGGTGAGTTCCATTGAATAAGAAGAATCATTTGATTGAATCAATAATTATTCAGAGATTATCATAACTTATAAAAGTTGGAGTGTTTCATTGTCATTTTAAAAAACTGAGGAAGAAATAGAGAAATAACAACCGGAGTTGGGAAATAAGTTGAGTTCCAAGGTTTACATTTTTGGGACTAAAAAATAGACTTTATAACTGCGTTGCGAAATGCAGAGATGGTTGATTTATTCCGTCGATTTCTTTCAAAATACAGAGAGGTCAAGGTCACCACGGGTTAGTGACCATGTAAACGACACTGTAATCTTCTATTTAGATTCTAAGTACGGAGATTCCAATGTTTTTATAATAAAAAATTTTGCTCCAGTTTTTCCAGTGCTTTGTACGTTAGGTTTGGTCGTGTCAGTGAGTTATGGAATGCTATTGCCGGAAGTGAGGCAGAGAGCTGCAGTAAATCCGCTGGAAGAAAGCGATGTCTTCATCCCTTATCAGGGGGAGCGATTTAACGTGTTTGATTGGAATTTATGGAAGGTTGGTGGCTTATCAATACTGAATTTATGAAATATCAGGGATGTCATTGTCGTCCATGCCTGGTTTTAGAACAAAATATGCAAAAATCATATTTTAAGTTGAAAATAAAACGGAGTTGAAATATCTTGGAAATAGACACTGTTTTGAGAGAAGCTAGCAAACTTTTATAATGGCCAAGAAAATGTTATATAAAAACAAGTGGGAAATTGCTCTTGAATTGTATATGTAGAGTGTAGTTATTTTTGCTGATAAATTAGCAATATGCTTCCGAATGGTTATTTTGCACATCATTTTCTTCTATCATGTATAATTCATTGTTGATTTCATTTTATTAAATTGACTAAGATTTCCGTTTACCTAATTTTGTCAGATTTTCAACTTACTTGAATGTTATCAACTTGATTATTCTTTTTATTCCATTTCTTCTATACAACCGATTATAGTATCTAAGTTATTTAACTGATTGTTCCAACCGATGTATGTATCTTCTTGAACCTGTTATTGACTTCGGCCAATTGATTAGATTAAAAATTGCATTTTTATCCAATCAATTGGAATAAATTGGTATATTTATTCCAAATTGCATTTGGATTAAAAATTCCAATCTCGGATTTTTTGGGTCATAATGGGTCGACATAACAGAAAAAAACTAAAACTTAAATTTAAACGATTACAACGCTTCCATTTGGAAGCAAAAAGTCCTATGGAGATGTTTTATTCAATACGGCTCATTACTGATATATGTCAACATTAGACAAAATTTATGTTCCTTTTAGAGCTGCGGGACACCCCCAAAAAAAGCGCTTCTAAAGTGACCGACCGACCACTCGCGTTCTAATGCGTAATTCTTTCTTTGAACAATGAACTATGTTCACGGGACGTCAAGTAATTAATTTCCAATGAATTTTCGGCAGTGCAACTATTTATTATCAACTATTTACTTGTTCAAATCGCCCCAGCGCCCAAACTATGAAAGATATAGGAAAATTTTCGGATCACGAATCATTTAAAATTTGATAAGGAATAATTTTTTGTTTTTTGTCAATTTCACATATTTCCTTTAAATTTCGAGACATGTGCAAGGAAAGAGTTGCGTAACCCAGCACAGCGCTCTCAAGTTCACCGCGCGCTGCAAGCAGAGTGGAAGCATTGAAATCGTTCGATTTTTCGATTCTTTAATTTTGCTTGGAAATGATGTAGAATGGTCTGAAACGTAAAAATACGAAGTTTGAGGACCATGTATGTATGTGCGCGTGGTCAACTTGGTCCACTTGATGATCAACTTTTAGAAAATTAAACAAATAAAGGGCTAAAATAATTTCAAAAAATTAGAAATTTTGTGAAAATATAGGTATTAATGAGGATTAAGTTTATGCTAAAGTTCAGCTGAATCGGTTCAGCCATTTTGGAGAAATCATCATTTCTTTTTAAATCGTTTTTTGCAAATAACCCGAAAACTATCGAACCGATTCCAATTTTTTTTTCAAAATACTCGTCTTGATATCCTCTATTGAAATCTATCAAAATATCTATACCCGTTCATACAAAGTTTTCGAGATATTTCTATTTTTCGGTTTTTCGCTGAAAACTTTTGTTAGCACTCGTTTTCCTCAAAATTGACATATTAACTTGAAATTTGGTACAAAGTTTCCTCTTGGCACTAAAATGTTTGGTATTGAATATGGGCTGAATCGGATGGATAGTTTAGGAGACATTTGACTTTGTATCCAAATCTATTTTCTTGAATATCTCAAAAACTAATCAACCGATTTCAATTTTTGTTTCAAAATATTCATCTCAGTGTCTCCTATTCCAAACAGTTGGAATATGCATAATTCATGCAAAGTTCCCGAGAAATTCAAATTTTTCGATTTTTCGCTAAAAATCCGTCTTTGCACTCTAATTTTGGCAAAAATTGACATATTAATCTGAAGTTTGGCACGAAGTTTCCTCTTGTTTTACTTGAAAATTGAGAAAATCGGAGAATTTGCGTCTTACAGAAACTGAAATTTTTTATTCACCACAAAACAGAATTTTTATCTTCTTATTATTTTTTAAAAATAGAACTGCAACGGATCCATTCGGAAGCTTACTATCAATGAAATTGGTAGAGATGAAAGATAAAAAGACTAACCACGCATCAAGAAACAATCATATTTCTTCAGTCGAATAGGCTCGGCCCCCTGCTTGTTTTACACTTAGTAAAATTAAACAATTTTTTAAAGCACCTAATACGAAAATACTGATTGCAAGAATTAACGTATAAATCTTGAAAAAAAAAGAAATATTATGTTATCAAACCATTAAAAAATTAAATTGAAAATAATCAATAAAGTCGAGAGCCTCTCCCGGTCAAAGTTTGTACATTTAAGAAAATAATCTTCATACAACTTTTTTTTGATATTATTTTTTAAGGTTTGCACATATGAAAATAATGACTATCTGTTGAATAAAAAGCCTGGTTAAAAAAAAAAAGAGCGCTATGTCGGGTCGCGTAATTAGTTTATTACTCATATCTCGAAATCTACGAAAGATACGTAAAATTGAAAATAAACAAAAATTATTCCTTATTAAATTCTGGATGATTCATGATTTGAAAATTTTCGTCTATTCTTCATAGTTTGGGCGTTAGGGCGATTTGAACAATTCAATTGTTCATAATAAATAATTCCAATGCCTAAAATAACTTGAAAATTGTTTACTTGACGTTCAGTGATCATATTTTATTATTTAAAACGAGAATTACGCATTAGAACGCGAATGATCGGTACATGTCTGAAAATCAACGGTGTCTCGCAGCTCTATTTCACTCGTTTTACCATTTCTCTCATGAATTGGAAAATGAAGAATGTTTGACCCAAATTCATTAATATATGGCATCACCCAAACTTAATTCTTTGCTGCAGTTGATGGCACAAAAGTACAGAGGAAATATCCTGATATCCCCATTATCCCTGAAAGTTGCGTTAGTTTTGCTGTGGGAAGGTGCTCAAGAACAAACTGCGCAGGAATTGGCGGCAACTCTACAACTTCCAAGTGGACGTTGGGCTCCTAGAGATCAATTTTCTCTTATTATTCGTTCACTACAGGTAAAGTAATTTCTCATCTTCGAGTTTTCCCATAATTATCAGAATCAAAATTTTCAATGTCCAATTTAAATTTTGAAACAATTGTGTCTAGCCACTTGCTGGTGAATTCCAACTCAAATTTGGAACGAGGATTTACCTGGATAATTCTATTTCATTGAAGCAGAGCTACGCGTCAGTCATAAAAACATTCTACTCAACAGACATAGTTCCTTGTAACTTCACAGACGTAGTTGCAGTTACTCAGGGCATTAATTCGTGGGCGAAAAATTTGACCAATGGACACATTGAAAAAATGATTGAGGATGGTGAGTCGAATAGTTCAAACTTGCTTTTGACGTTTGGGCTAAAGAGAAAACTCAAGAAATTTTTTTTTAATCCTAAAAAATTTCATACGAACTAGAACATAGCGCGCGCTTCCCGTGCGTATTGTGTTTCCCATGGGCGCCAGAAGAGTAAAACCCTACCGTTTCTCACTTCCATTAATTTTTATCTCAATAATAATGCAGGAAAAATGAATGGTTTCCATAAAGTTTTTCACTATGAGAATTTAATTGTTGAATAATTTATTTGGAATCGTCATAATCCCCTTCATCGTCTTCGTTTCTCTTTTGCTTTTTGCGTTCTTTTTTATTTTTAGGGATGTATTATGTCCTATATACATATATGCTATTCTATATACATATAGTTTTTACAGAACGATATCAATTTTTTTACAGTCGAAAAAAATTAAAGTAAAAAAAAATATATGTGGGGTATTCCATGTGAACTCACCCAGGTCAAAACCCTCACCATCGCCAATCATATTGCCGATTTTTCCTGTGGTTGTATATGGAAAAATATGACTTCTCAAATTTTTTCAGATTTTTTAAGGCATCCTGTGGACAGCCATGTTTTTTTGCAAGTTTTATCTTAAAATGCCTGTAACTTCCGTAAAAATCAACCGATTTGAGTTTTTTTTTACAAAATGTGCGTCTTCGAACACACTTTCCATATAAAAATATGGCAATTTTTTTCAATTCGTTCTTCCATCGATTTCCTCAGAAAAACCTCAAAAAACTTCAAAAAACGAGTCGTTTTCAAAGTTGGACCCTTTTCATATTTTTCAAAAAATTTCAGTGAATATATTGGACCAGAACAAAATTTTTCACCAAAGGCCAAAGTGGGCTTCCCATTTCGTGGCCGTCATTTCCAATTTGAATATATGAATCCGGGATGAGAAATTTCAAAAATTTCAAAATTCTTTTCGCATTTGAACGCAGAAGCATTATTTGAATTAACTGCCTGAAGAATCACTGCATTATATTCGAATCAGGAACAATTTGATGATTTTTTGAAAATTCGTTAACAATAAATCTTTCCGAGTGGTGTGTTCTAATAGAGATCCCACTTTGGCCTTTGGTGAAAATTTTTATTTTAGTCCAATATATTCACTGAAATTTTTTGAAAAATGTAAAAAGGGTCCAACTTTGAAAACGACTCGTTTTTTCAAGTTTTTTGAGGTTTTTCTGAGGAAATCGATGGAAGAACGAATTGAAAAAAATTGGCATATTTTTATATGGAAAGTGTAGTCGAAGACTCACATTTCGTTAAAAAAAAACTCAAATCGGTTGATTTTTACGGAAGTTACAGGCATTTGAAGATAAAACTTGCAAAAAAACATGGCTGCCCACAGGATGCTTCAAAAATCGTTACACTGGATTTTTCTAACGTGGAAAAGTCATTTAGACATTTCCTTCTACAACCGATACGTAAGAACAACTATCCTGGCAAATGACATTGCAGTTTTTCCGTTATGGAAATATCTTGAAAATGATTAATTCTGCAGAAAAATTTCAGTCGATATACTTTATAGTCTATGCAATTTGTCAGAATGAACTCTTGCAAACCAAGATGCAAATCTGTTTATTTCCAAATGACATTCATCCCCTCTTCTGTTCGTACCACTTAACAGCTGCATTCATTAAGAAATAACATTTCTCGAATAGAACATAGTTTGAAGCATTCGGTTATGCTCGTGATGAACATCCTCTTCTTCAAGGGCCTCTGGTTAAACAATAATTTCGCGGTTCATGAAACCAAACTGGGAAAATTCTACGAGTCCCCAGGGAAAACTATCGATGTACCTTTCATGACTGCTATTGGACAATTTTATTACGTAGAATCAGCAGACCTCGATGCAAAAATCCTAAGAATTCCTTACAGGGTAAGTTCAATAGTCAAATGAAATTTGAGTACGTAAAAAAAATTTAAAAAAAAAACCAATAGAAAAATTTGTAATAGATAAGTGAACATCAAACATAGAAGGTCAAATGTTCCTAGCAGTGAACCACTTTTTTTAGCCGTTACGTAAAGTAGATTTCGATGACCTCCAAAAAACAGAATGGATTAATATGTATGTGTTTTATAATTAGGGTCGAAAAATAGCAATGTACATTGTTCTGCCAAGGACCCGGGACGGTCTTGACACGTTAATTAGGAACATCAGTCCATATATTTTAACAAGCCACGTGTGGGTAATGCAGAGATTGCCGGTGGAAGTCAAACTCCCAAAATTCAAATTTGATTATGCAAGCCACATGGAACCTGTTCTACGTGAGGTAAGAATCTCTCTTTCAAATATAACTCATAAATTTGCTCTTAATGGATTGGTGAAGTATGAAACGTGATAAGTCTGTATTTGTTCGTAACATAATTGTTGGTGTTTTTTCACTCACTTTATTTCATTTTATTGAGAAATCATCATTGTTCGTTCCCGAATTTGGAGCATGGAATCTGTACGTGAAAACACCATTCGATTTTCCAAAATTAATTTTAACTGAGATGAAACTGAGAAGTTTTTTAGAAACAATTTTGTCAGACTGTTTACATTTCTCTGATGGGATTTTTATCTCGCCCATGTTTTTCATCGGGCGGGCATCTTCCAATCATCTCATGTTTTCTTATCTTTAAAAAGAGGTCATTTTTTCATGTTCTTTTACATTTTATTACGCTCACTACGTCAATTTCTATGTTTCTTTAGTTTTTGACGAATTTTTTTATTTTAGATAATTTTATCTTTACGTTTTTTTGTTCGATTTTCGTGATAAAAAGAAAAGAAAACTAAAATGACAAAAACTTGAGCCGAGGAAATTCTATAGAAAATATATCAATAAAGTAAATTGTATAGAAAAATCGAATTCTATTGACTTTTTCTATAGAATATTTTCTATTGAACATTTCAATAGAATCCACTAGAAACTAATTAAAAGTTTAATAGAAATCCAATAGAATTGTCTAGTGACTTCGCTACGATTTTCTATTGATTTTTTCGTGCGGGTAGTTTTCAATATGTATGTTGGACTGTAATGAGCATGGTTTCAATTAACTCACTCCATCGGAAATATATATTGAAGACAGAAAAAAAACCTTTTGCTAGGGGAGGGTGGGGCAAAATGGAACGGAAGGAAAAAACGAATAAAGAGCGAAATTCAGACAACTTTTTTTTTCACCTAATTTGAGCTCAAAAATGATAATTCGGGGTTAAGCCAGTGACATCAGTGTATTTTGTAGTTTTCGTTATCTTGTAATTTAAGGGAGATAGGAGTATTTTGATGTAGACCTTTTTGTAAAGAATTTCAAGGGCTACACGGAGAGAAATGTTCAGTAAAAATTACGGAACTCACAATTCACTCACCGATTACAGAATCGACTCAGAAAATTCAAGTGACAGTATCGTAATTTTTCACAGAAGATTCAGATAAAAATTACGGAACGCTCCGGAAAAATTCCGTGAAAGTTCCGTAAAATTTCCTACAACCACATTTCGCTCCGGAATTACGGAAAAGATACGTAATTTTTATTGAATATTTCTCTCCGTGTATGAAAAAGGTCATCATAATAATTTTGATATCTTCTTTATAAAAAATGATAAATCGAAGTTAAGTCAGTGACAATAGTCAGTGACACATCACACTGCTTCCATTCGGAAACAAAAATGGAAAAACCAGAATAAAACCACATTTCCCGGGGTGGGATGGTATTTTTTGGTAACTAGGTATCATCATGACAAGTATTTTGAAAAAAAAACCGAATCCGTCGAATGGTTTATGAGATATCGGCAAAAAACGATTTTCAAGGAATCGCTATATCTCACAAACCGCCCAACTAATCGAGCTGAAATTAAGCACAGATTTGAGTCTCAGCATTCCCTTAATCATTTGCGAGTTATAGGGACAGTTCTGGACATACGAACACACATGACTACACACATACCCACATATATACAGACATTCTTCAAAAACAACATTTGTTCACGTTTCACGACATTCCTAGTCATTTTTACACCCAAAATTAAGAATTCGAAAAAAAAATCACAATTACAAAGCTTTTATTCAGAAGCAAAACAAAAAGGTCTTATAGTTTTTGGAAACCAAAATTCACTACCGTTCCACTTTGCCTCGCGTTCCATTTTGACCCACCCTCCCCTAAAACAAAAAATTCCTTTAAAAACTAAAAAAAAATAGACGCAGTAAGCGTAATAAATTTGAAAAAAAAATTTAGGTCCTTTTAATGATAAGAAAACCATGTGTGAAGCCTCAACAAAATCAAAATTTTATACAAAACCATACCAATAATTCTTCAGTGAAGTAGTAAACTAGGATAACTGCAATTTTTTTGAGAAATTTTCTATTGCTTGAATTGAAAGTTCTCTCAAACGTGGTCAAAATTTTCAACTCTCCTGAAAAATTCCATTGTTGCACTTATCCTAGTGTACCACTTCGCTACAGAATTGGCGAAGCTTCCATATTTGTTGAAAGATGTCCGTCCAAAGAAGAACATAGACGAGACGAAGATCCCGTGAGTGTTAAGAATTTTTTTTTCGTTAGATTAAACTGCACAAATTGGAATCCTACGCGTATAAATGTGTTTAGGAGAAAGCATAAAGTTGTAACACTTCGATGTTGCGTTTCTAATGGAACGTGGATGTAGCAATGGGGGTGGAGTGATGACCCCCCCCCCCTGTGTGCTCACAGAAGGAGCGCCCAAGGTTCATCCGCAGCGGGAAATATACAACTTTGTCTTACTGTGAACATTTGATTTGAACAGATGGGAATTAAGGATATCTTCGCAAATACCGCGACGTTGACGGGAATTGCTAAGGCTAAGAGGGGAGCTGCTGAGCTACTGGTATCGGAGATTGTGCAGAAGGCTGGAATTGAAGTTAATGAGGAAGGAACTAGTGCTTATGTAGCTACAGGTATGATTTGTCTAGTCAACAAAAGAAAGAAATATATGTATTGAGTCACAGTTCGCAAAGAATAGAAAAGAATTCCTTGAGGACTTGAAAACAACTTCTGTAGTAAATGGATGAAACGTAATAAGTAATGTAAGGAAGAGAAATTAAGGATTCCCCTCCTGACACGTACGAAAAGATTTAATAAAAAATCCTTTCTCCAGCGAATGCACTGGAGATTTTTCTCTAGCGCATTCGATGGTGAATCCTATTGAAAGTCTCGCAAGAGACGACTGTACCTGGGGAGGTTTTTCCTTCAAATGAGGTTTTCCCTTGTCCTTCGGAGAATGCGGTACAGGAGTTTGGGGGGTGGGAAGGGAACAAATCGTAAAAAAACGAAATTGTATACGAGAGAAAAAAAAATCAATTTTAATAGTATAAAATTGATCACTGTGCAATTCTCGGAAATTTTGAAAATGTGTAATATTCCAGAAGTTCAGTCTTGTTAATTAATTTTTATTTCTCTTTTTTCCACATAGAGATAAATCTAGGAAACAAAGTAGCAGACCAAGAGTTCATCGCCAGCCATCCCTTCCTTTTCTACATCGAGGACGAAATAACAGGAACAATATTGTATATGGGTCGAATGGAGAATCCATTACAAACCACCGGAAGCACTGAAACATCCGGCACACAAACACCAATTCATTCATCAGACGAGAAGTTCATTCAGCACCAGCTATCAGGTGATGATGAAAACCATCACATAATTTGAATCCAGATTTCACACTCGCCTCAACCCATACATGTATTTACTCTTCTGGTGACTAAGCTTACAATAAACATACGTCCCAATTTCCTGCCCCCTACACCGATCCTGACGCACGAAAACCTCAAACGATATAAATGGCTATTGTGTCTATGTTAATTCAATGTATGAATGATGTTTTTTACATGTTTCTTGTCATCAGTGACGTAACTTGTCTCTAGGAATTTCCACTATTTCGTGACCAACTTTCTTCTCGTCTTTTTCAGTTCGGTATATGTAATCCTGTTATGAAAAGGATATATAATTTCAAGTACATGAAACAAAGCGTTGTATGCTTTTTAGTATTGGACTTATTCTCCAAGGATGACTTGATCTGAATTGGTTGAGAAGTTTCCATGAAAGTTGTAATAACAATAATCACAATTTTTTTCGTTTTTGGCGATACCTATGAAGCTAACGGGCTCAAAATCACTCTCACCAATAACACGGTTCGATAAAATACGCGAGGGTTCGGGCCGAAGGATGAAAGTTATGCTACTCGATAGATTTTTCGACGCAGAAACCGAATCTGTTTGTTAAAATGCTCTCAAACGTATAGTGACTGAGAAAAAAAATGTTAAAGTCGGTAAAATCAGCAAAATCGAACACGTTCAAAAAATAAAAAGTCAATAAATTTTCCTTCTATTGAGTCCGGGAAAAAACAGGAGGTTCGGAATTCTGAGAAGTATGGAGTGGAGAAAAGTGTATGTGAATAAATTTACCCGTAAGAGGCTGAAAAAATCAAATAAAAAGAGAAAAAGTGGTGCATTTTGAGTGGATTTGAAGGAGGAGAGGCAATTGTTTCTTCTCGTCATGCAGGATTTGGAGCCAATTTCAAATTGTTCTTCCCACGTGGGTTTTAACCCGAGAATTTCAATGTATGAAATTTTGTGTGCAATAACAATTACGATTTAGTGTTTTGAAATTCGATTCCTGCACAACTAATTTCGTTTTTTTTTTCAATAAAAAATTGTACCATTCATGTAAAATAGGCCGAAAAATGTTTCTGAAAGAATCTAGAATATATTTTAAGTATTTTAAGGATAATTTTTTGCCTATTCTACCTGAATGACGCAAATTTTTATATTAAACAAAACGAAATTAGCTGTGTAGGAATTGCATTTCCAACAATGAATTCGTAATTGATATGGTAAACATTTTTTCAAAAATAAAAGAAAAAAGAACCTATGTAGCTCAAAAATTAAGGCGCTTGGTCATTTTTATTGTTGACATTCAACCGTTTTCACTTGTTTTGACTCTTTTCCAGTCTGTAAAAATCTCTAAGTTTGGCATTTTCACACCTTTCTTCATATTATGAGCTTTAACAATCATACCAATAAAACTCGACTATTTTCAAATTCCAGCGTGGTCTGCTTCAACTCAAAAGCATTGAATATCATGCAAAATTGTGAATTCCTACCTTGAAGATTTGCGGTTTAGTTGCTGCTCATTTTAAATATAGATACATACAAATAGACTCATACATCCAGGCATTTTTTGAACACACAATATCCTTTCGAATGATTACACAAGCCTCGCCATAAATCCGATGCTTTCATGTAAAAGTGAAAAGAAATAAAATTTCACATGAAATTGTAAAGAGCCCCACAATAAAGATGAATCTGTTGATTATGACGAGCAATGGAAAAAAATCGTTAAATAAATATTAAAGTGGGGGAAAGGAGTCAAGCAGATCGGTCAAGGACCATTGGAGGAAACTCGCTTCAATCAGCCTCGAGTCGTCTCTACGAGTGTATCACTGCCATCATATATTCTACTAAATTCCATCGATCATCTTACATCCGGGTGTCATCACTAACACTTTTTTCCAATTTCAGTACATAACCTTTCAAATTGTTTTTCCAAAGTTCATTTGCGGTTGAAACAGAATGTTCGGAACCCATTTAGTTTTTCTCTGTGTCATCTGTGGAGCATTAGGAGGTAATTTATTCGTGTACTATTGGTTTGTGTACTCAACGCGGGAATTTCCCAATATCCTATCATTTCAAGTGAAAAACCTGTTTGCTACTCTGCATAATCGTTCAATAGTCGTAGGATAAAAACTAGTTTTTATAGTTTTTTTATAGTTTTTTCTGTTTGTTAAAATGTATACATATTTTGTTTCAGCTTATCCTATTGGCAATAGCAATTTCCAGAGGTCTAATTATTTCAATGTCGAACTTCTCAAGGTGAATATTTTCATATATGAGTGTGATATTGATTATGTAATTGTTCCATGTAGTAGAAAAAGCTCGTTCGCTTTTCATTTACTTAATGTATCTATAGTGCAATTGCACACATACAAGGGGTTTTTTTAGGCACCAGGCCAATTAAAAAAGTAGTTCAAAATCATGTCTGTCCGGTAGGGTAGAAGATTCCTTTCAGAAATGTAGATAAAATTCAAAGTTTGATGAAAATAAGTAGGTAAATACAATAATAGGGAAAATTCGGAAGCTCGGTTATAATTTGAGTAGTTTCTATAATTTGGCTTTACATTTGGCATAACCCGGAACAGGAAGTGTGTACATGAAATGAATATAAGAATCGTAGCAAGTCAAGTGGAGGATCCGGTTTTTATAACAGCAATGAATGTTGATAATGAGTGGCAGTATTTTAGGCTGATGCTTTCAGAGCGATCGCTCTGGAAATGAAGTTGAAGACTATTACTGCTTTTTCCTCTGAAGTCAGTGTATCCTCCGAAGTTAGTCTATCGTTCGCTTTTTGTCAATTATGCAATAAGAAACTGAAAGACCAAGTGTCAGAAAACCTTTTTTTCAATGAGACATTTCTCTGCTGACAGTTTTTTTCTTAAATATTTGGAATTGAATTTCTGTGGTTCCCGGTAGCTTAGTCGGTAAGAGTGCCCGGCGCGTATCTGGGAGACCCGGGTTCGATTCCCGGCTGGGTGAAACGGAAATTTTTTCTCTCTAAATTCTAATTCTCTTAGAATTCTAAGAGACTAAGGGCGCTCTTACCGACGAAGCTACCGGGAACTACAAAAATTCACTCTCAAATTCACCTCATACACCGCCTAACCTCCTTTAGGCATTAAAGAATTCTAAGAGAATTAGAATTTAGAGAGAAAAATTTTCCGTTTCACCCAGCCGTCTCTCTGGTCCCTTGACGACCACTAAATTGTTCTGAATGTCTTTTTAGAAGGAATCCCAACACAACAAGATAATTCGAATGTCATAATCGATAGATGTGATATCTCTCCTCTTTTCCAATTGATTTTCAAATTGATTTCAGGCTGTAAGCGAAGGCAACTCCGAGAACACAATCATTTCTCCATTAAGTGTGAAATCAGCATTGACTATATTGTCGGAGGGAACAGGTGGGCAGACGAGAGAAGAACTCCTCGCAGCTCTGAGACTACCCTCGGATCCAGTTCGAATTCGCGCTATCTCGAAAGACACTCTATCACTGCTCCAGGTGAATTGAATCCCGAGAAACCCGCCGTCGAGAGACGGCTCTATCGAAATTTCTCTACACTGATAGAATGATTTGTTTATTCCAAACGAGATTCGTTAACTATTAACGAATGGTTCACTTGAAAGGTGAAAGCCGATTCAAACAAGGCGCCTCAAATATGCATTTCGTTACTATCGCCGTGCGTAAAACAAGCACTTTGAGGCGAATCTACCGCATTTCATCATGGTACAATTCATTATCCCCATTCAACACAATTTATCATAGGACAACGTATCACAGGGACAACTCATTACAGGGACACTTCATCACAAATACATAAAAAAATAAAATCAATTGTTCATCTATTACCCTTCATTAAGTTTATTACTTTAATTGCCATTTATTTATTGACTTATTAGCCAAAATCAGAAAAAGAATACCATAAGAAAAAAATAAAAATGATAAAACGACATGAATTCAATAAAATTCTAACAAACCATTTTAAAATGTTGAAGTAGTTTCAGCGAGAACATTACAATGCTTATCTGACAGATAGTCGATGCATCGCCAAATAACTACCTTTGACACTTTATTTTCTCTTAATTTATTAAATAAGTAACCATCATGCAAAAGCAATTTTTTCCCTCTCTGAATCAAAACAAAGTGTAAACGGTTTCGAAAAGTGAACGTTTCAGGCAAAAATCGCATGAAAACTACGGCGCAAGGAGCATTTTGAAGGTAAAAACAGGAAAAAATGTAGTTTTTCGTGGTTATACGGGGTAAAATCGATCGGGTCTGCGATTTTCCCTAGTTATTCCTATATTCCGTCATAGCTCACAAACTATTCAATGGATCTCAAGGCCCAGTGAAGACGTTTAAATTTCACTGACATATCCCCTTAAGGGGAAACAGAACCCCTGCGTTTATATGAATCTTTAGAATTGTGTTTTCTCCTGCAATTATTATTTTTTATTTATTAAACTACTTCATTCACTCAACAATGCGATAATCGAGTCGATAAAGTAATTTCATAGATAGAAATTAATAATTGCAGGAGAAAACACAATTCTAAGATTTGATGCAGACAAAGGGGTTCCGTCTCCCCTTAACGAATGAACATTTGGTGAGACCGAATAGACCCTACCCTCTAACTAAATCCATTCGTTAACAATAACTAATCCTTTCTATCAGTGTATTCAATTTGAATTCTGTCTTTAGCAACTGAAGGAATCCATCGAACGAGTTTGATACATGATGGGACCTCTAACAAGTAGGAAACATACAGAATTCCACTATTCTGCCCCATATTTCATAGTAAAACTCGTGAAATGAAGTTTTACTATAAAATGCGAGATAAAATGAATTTCATTCTAGATACTTTCTACTTTTTAGACGTCCGATCATGCATCAGAAGTCGCTCAATGGGTTCTTTTAACAGCAAAAGATTTTCAAATTTCAAGGCGGATCCCCTCAACGACATTACATACATATCTATTTCTCCTCATTTTAAAACATTGGTAAATTTTGGGTTATAGGATAGCAGAATTGGATCTGAAATTACCTTAGCGAATCGTTTGTGGGTTGGACGAGGGATTGCACTATCTGGGGACTACAATAGTCTGCTCCGTGCTTATTATGGTGGAGATGTGCAGGTGGTTGATTTCAGTGATGTCGCGGGAGCCTCGAGAGCCATTAACGATTGGGTTCATCACATAACAAGGAATATCATCCAATCAATCGTTGATAATGGTAAAAATTTGATTGATATCCCTGCATAATCCCTATTGGCTTTTTATTATCCTCCATCACGTTATTGATGTAAACTTCTCCCCAATAATTGGCTTTAGCAGATGGAACTGCCGAAATTTCCTTTAAAAAACGTCTGCTGACATTATTTCCTATAATCGATTATTGCTACATGAAATTAATTATGGGGCGTTCCACGGTATTTCAACGGCGAATTTACTTTAGTAAGGAATCCGCAACCTTTGAACATTTATATCTCAATAACATGTGGAAAAATCAAAAGGGCCTAATTGGTTGGAAAGGATGGGTAGTTATTAAAAAAAATTATCACTCGGAAAAAGTAAATATTATTGCAACTTTTTAAATAAATAATTAGAACAACCGTTGCATGTGAGTTCCACCCTGAAAAATTAAAAAAATATATAGGTATATTGTGGGGAATATTGTTGAGACAGCCGTTTCAAAATTTTGTGTAATGACATTCACTGATGGTTGAGATGATAATTTTGTTACGAAGTTGCGCGCTGTCCCAGCCGTTCAGTGTGCTACCCAATTCAAGTGCTCTCAATCCGTTGAAACTTTGAACAGCCATAACTCACTCAATACTTATTTCATGGTTTTTTTTGTCGTTATAAAAAAATGAATAATCATGAAAACTCTTATTTTCTCGGAAGAAAATGGATTTTGGATGAACATGGAGCCCTCGAATTGAGTAGTGCACTGAGCGGCGGAGACGTCACATGACTTCCTTAAAAAATTAATCTTTTACGAGTCAGTTAATATCATTAAATAAAAATTTGACACAGCGTTTTTAATAATATTTTCCACAAGATATATTTTTTTCATATTTTTCAGAGTGGAGCTCACGAAACTACACTTACTTTTTTCGATCAATTTTTTTACATGACTAACCATTTTTTCTCACCAATAAAGCTCTTCTGAAATTTTTGGATTAAATGCATAACTTTTGAGATATTCAAAAGCATGTCGATTCGTTATTCACTGGAATTTTACAATTGTTATAACTTTAGCAACAAAATGGGCTCTTAATAGTACCTCTGATTCTCCTTCTGTGATATAAGCAATTTAAAAAAAAAAAATTTTTTTTGCCTACCGTTGAAATCCCCTGGAATTCCCCTTATATGGACAACCAAATGTGAAATTGACTTGACTATTTTCATTTTTTTATAACTTTATGATGTAATTTTCTAGAGAAAATTAGTCCGGACACTCAATTACTCCTGACCTCTGTAATTTATTTCAACGGTCGCTGGTTGAAGGCCTTTGATGCTGATTCGACGAGGACACGCTGTTTCCATGTGTCGGACTCTGAATGTCAAGAAGTTTCGATGATGGAAAATGTTTCTAAGTACAAATTTGCACACGTACCTAGTCTGGATGCTCAGGTCGTCGAAATTCCATATGCAGTAAGTTAATGATAATATTTTGATATTTCAATGCTCAACGGTGAAAAACTTCAGGCATTTAGATTAATCCATACGCTCTACCTAATCCTGTACTGATTTTGTAGTCTGTGAGTTTTTATATGTGGAATTTAGGTTTTTTGGGTTGCTGATTCGAATTTGTCGGTTATTTTCTCAATAAATTCAGCGTTCCATTTGTTATTAACAATTTAATTGTTGAATGCAGACCTCGCCTTCGACTTGGCCTGTAAACTTCACATTCGTGGAAAACGAAATTTGTACCTTTGTACTCTAATGTACTATTTCATGTTCGTTAAATTCTATCGAATAAAAGTCGTTTTTTTTCTTCATTACCTCAAATAACTCATGAGAAAAAACTCTTTTCCCCACTCGTAACGAAATATACTATTATTTACTATTTCAATGTTCAAATATTCAAACCAATGATTTTTATATACGATATGCAAAAATTAAAAAAATGAGTAAAATTAAAAAATTAACTGTCTCATGATCTATTTGACATAATGAAGAAAAAATACCTAGTTTTGTTCTAAGGAATCGAACGAACATTAAAACAAAAAAGCTCAGATCGAATAAAAATTGTGGTGCGAAGACCATTTCAAAGCCAAAAATACGAGAAACGACGTTTTACTTCAATGTAGGGGAAAAATGCGTTGGGCACATAATTTTTCTTACTTTCTTGGGTGTTCCATAATATTCCAAGAGTCACTCAATGGCTATTTTCATCAACTTAAGATTTCCAAGTTTCCTCTGAACCCGCAAGTTTCAGAGGTACTCGAAAAAAAATGTGCGTAAAATAGTATGAACTTACCTCTTCACCACTTTGCGACAGTATCAAATTATTCTAAAGATGAAACTAAAGTAGCGCTTATTTTAGGATGGTAGACTGTCGATGCTGGCAATATTGCCGAACAAGAAAGGTCTCCAGAGTCTCCAAACTCTTTGTAAAGATCTTGCATACACTTCAGTATCAGCCATCCTCTCGAATCTTCGAGAGTCAGAGATTATTCTTCAAATACCGAAATTCAGTATTGAGAGCAGGATTGACTTGCGACCTGCACTCGAATCCGTAAGTTTTGTACCGTCAAGTGAGTTTGAAAAAATAAATTTCGAGGTGAAAATTAAGAATTTTTACTAACGATTAGCAATGATTTTTCTTTGCAGTTGGGAATCAGGGATATGTTTGGATATAATGCCAATATAACAGGAATTTTATCCGGGAGATCGTCCCAAGTCGGAAGCGTCCTTCACAATGCTAGGATTGAGGTGGACGAGGCTGGAACGGTTGCTGCTGCTGCTACAAGTAATGATTTCAGTTTTATTAATTTACTGAGCAAAAAATGAATCAGGTCAATTTATCGCATTGAATGAAATTCAAAAATCCGATTGCCTTGACTTGGACACAATCACTTGTCCCAATGTTTTATCAACTCCGACCATTTATGAAAATTAATTAATTGCAAAAATGATTTTCCCATTTCCTCATCAAACAATAATGTCAGTAGTTATCGATTTCAGAAAATATTTTTTATTGCAAATTTTGGTAATTATAGAATATATTCTTTGAGATATTCTCATAAAATCACTTTTTATCGAGATGGTTTTACACCAACGGAGATGTCTAGAAGATACACCAACTCAGTTAAATCCCTCCCTCCTTGTGAATGGATTCTTCTGGTAAAATAAGTAGGGGACCGAGTCTATCCAAGCGTGTGACCTTTACTTTGTGCGTTATTAATCTTTATTTTTTATTTCTACTAATTTCATTCGTCAAAAGCTTTCAAATAGACCCATGGCAATTCTTTTTTAAATTGAATAATGGCAATTTCTATTTAACTTTCTGATTTCATTCAAAAACTACCTGACGGGTTGAGCTGAAATTTCACCCATAAATGCTCTCAAGTAATACCAATTATGGGACAAAATTTAAGATTTTTAGCTTCAACTTTACTTCTTTTTCTGTGAAGATAAAAAATATCTCAAAAACCACACATACGTACGCCATATGCATAGGCAAGAGTGGGGCAAAATGAAATAGTCGAAAAATAACTGTTTGACGCAATTCAAACAATAAAATTTTTTTGTCAAATTTTTTTTATTAACTTTTGTTTATTCACTTTTTTTATTCTTGAGAGTATTAATGAGAATAATAATTTTCCATTCAATAGAATTAACAATTATTGAGAAGTTTTAATGAACCAAGATGTTGTCAATGGATTAATTGAAAACACAATGAAACAGCAAAATTCAAAGTCCAGAGGAAGATCCAAGGGAAGACTCAGAGGGGGACAATAAGGAAAATGTGATGCTGAATTTCAGTCGAATGGAAAAAGAAAAGTGTAATCGGCTTAATCTAATAAATTGAATTAGAAGACGAATAGAAAATTATTATTCTCATGAGTACTCCCAATAATAAAAAAAATAGAAAAAAAATATTTAACAAAAAAAAAATTGTTTGCTTGAATTGTGTCAAATTGTCATTTTTTGACTGTTTCATTTTGCCTCACTGTTTTATTTTGTCCCATTCTCCCCTACACACGTTTTCTAAAAACAGTCTATTTTCGCGTTTCATGACATTTTACATCATTGCAGGCAAAATTAGAAGACCGTAAAAATCAACGACTACAAAGCTTCCATTCGGAAGCAAAAGAAATAAAGGAAAACTATTTTATTGGTTCTAGCTAAAGGTTCGATGCCCCCATCCTTCCTCCCTGGGAAAAAATGAATGTAAAGCCATCTGGTGGTTACACAATTCCAAAAACAATTGAAAATCCACACAAGAATTTTCTCACACTTGCTAATACTCCACAAAACATTGAAATAACCAGAAAGTAGAGTGACTCGGAACTTACCTGACGCGAAGGACAACCGTGATCAGGAAGGCGGTTCCTTCGAGGCGAGACTCCTCCATTGCACACAGGTTGAGTTAACCCTCGCGAGTAATCAATTATTTGATACTCGAGCGTATAATTTTTGGGTTTAGGGAAGTGCGTTCGCGCAATCCCGATAATTTTATTGAAGCGTAAATTACTGAATTACCAAATATTTTTATATATGATTTTTTCTGAACTATTTTACCCCCCCCCCCCTCCCGTCATATTTGCAATCTTTCAAAAAATAAACCTCAAAAACGGAGATTTTTCATCTCACGCTAAACCAGGAGAATTTCAGTTCGAGGGAACTGAAATTTCTTGTATTTCAGCCAAAATATTTTGAATTATAATTATTGAAAACAACCAATTATGAACTCAATCGATTGATGACGATTGCTTTGCTGAATATTTGGCGATCTCCAAGTATCTATCCAAGTATCTATTACAGTTTGGTACAGACCACACTATAGATTCAACTATTTTCAATCATCAAATTTGTCAATTAAATGGCGTCAGAAATAGTTGACGAAAGTCATGAATATTCAGCATCATTCAAATTACATTTTGCACAAAATTATTATTTTTTAAACATTCGTTGTTTATGAATAAATATTTGAAATTGTTTAAACTTTCGGAAACTTCGGTAAAATTCTGAATATGAATAAATTTGTTACGATCCCGAACAAATAATTTTTATGATGGAAAATTGATTGTTTATAAATTATTTATAGAAAATACTCGTAATTTTAAAAAATTGCACTTTTTAAATTATTTTATCAAACTTCCTCCAAAAGAAAACTTTCTATTTTTTCAGATTTTTAAAATGTTGTTTAACGGTTCAATATCGAGATTAGCATTCAAACCTGCAAAATGCAAATGAAAGCTCAAATGAAAGCTCTGATGTTTAACTACAAAAGTAGAAAAGCATTTTACTGGAGAAAAAATTGCCAAAGTACTTGGATATTATTATTCGGATTCCATTATTCGAAAAAATATATCGATTTTAAAACTTTTCGGAGACATTGAAAAATTAATGTTTTATTTCTTCCGGCCTACGTTTTTTCTTCATTTTTTTCATTTCTTCTCGTTGAAATTGGATCATAAAATTCCAAAATATTCATGTCCCGCCCATATTTTAAGAAAGAACAGTGATTGCAAGTTTCCACTGACACAAATGAAGACAAACAATTTTTTTTCCATTTTCTAGTCGGTCAGCCCTTTTAAAAAATTGTTGGTTTCAAATTCGTTATTTTTGCAATTCATTGCCATTTATGTAATTCTATTCATTCTATCAAAAGACATGAATTCGAAATCTTAATTTATGGGTATTCTTTCATTATTCGAAAAAGAATCGATTTTCAGACGTTCCGGAGACATTGAAAATTATTTTTTTTAGTTTTTTCCGCCCATTTGTTTGCATTTTTTGAATTTTTTCTCGCTGAAATACTGATATCCCTCTAACACTTGAAGAAAAAAAGTGATTCGACGTTCCCGCCGACGAAAAAGAAGAAAAAAATCCATTTTCCAGCCGATTATCCTTGTTTGTTTTTTTTTCTTTTCCTTTTTGATAATAATAATTGGAATCCGACCATAGGAATGAGGAGTACCGGTATCCTCTTACCATATGAAGGGGAAAATAGATTTAAAAATTTTTCAGGAATACATAGAGAGATTTTTCTATTACCCGAATGAGATTTCGAATGACTTTTGTTGTGATCACAAAAACAACATTTTATTGATCTTTAACATAATTCCTCTTGATTCACTATTGTAACCTGTGAATTAGGGGAAAAATATGTATATAATAAGAATAAAAATGAATAAAATAAAATAAATCTAATTGTGAGAACGGAAATGGAATTAAATTAAAATAAAATTAAATAGTGTAAATTAATCTAGCGACGGGTGCGAAGTGCCCATTCGGAAGTATCAATTATATCACGAAATCATTCGGATAATTGCTGATTGAACAGAAGCTGGCAGGAATTATTGTTCTGTTGTCCCAAATGGTTTACACTCAATTGTCTGTTGAATGAATTTGAGGAATAGTTAAATTGACCCTTTGGTCGGTAACTCCAGGTATTGAGGGAAACTATCTCCTTAGGTAGGTTCCACTAATCAACTACTACGCGCAGTTGACCAATCAAGACACGATTTAGAGTGCTTCGTTTAATGAGATTTATTTAATAACAATAACACTTGGTTTTATTACACTGTTTCACTATTGTAGGTTCAGGGTTTTTTCAAGTGACCCTTGTGGGTTGACGGTTGTTAATGTTTAAATGTTCTTGTTTTGTTTTGGTTTATTTTATGATTCGACTTCTATTTAATTAAATTGGTATTTGTGTTTAAGTCCCGAACACTTTGAATTTAGACGTTGGATATTTGGAGTTGAAGTATTCACTGAGACTTTACTTGGACTTGAAGTTTCACTTTAAGATTTTTAGAGAAGTTATATTCCTTTCTCTTTGATCGTGGATATAGAAGTGATTTTACTAAGATGAGATTTGAATATCTTAGGGCTGCTTAGGGCTCGCGCGTGGGCGTACACGCTCTAGTTTCTGAGGGTAGGATTGGTTCATTAGGGATGGTGGTGAGGAGAGAGGCGAACCGATTGGTTTTAGGTCAATCGGGGAGCCTCGAAAGTCGTGATTGGATTAGGAGCAATTAAGGGTGCAGCTGCATTTTACTCTTGAGAAAAATTCTGTTCTCACGGAACGTTAGAATTTGGAAAACGTCATTTGACACTTATGATTTTCGGGTTTCTTGGTTTCGCCCTGTTCGGTTTACAATTTCAGGATGCTAGTGTTTATCTTAAAGATTTAGTTGGTTCTTTTTCATGTTTTTTGGATAATTTATTATGCACGGGTGCATACGAGTGGTTTTCGGTTTCGTTTGAAATGTGGGAAAGCTAGTTTTATGATTTTCTCAGGAAAAAGTGGTCTGGACACTTGAGTGTTATCTCTGTTTGAAACTAAATAATATTCTAATTTACTACGTTTGAAAAAATATAATTGGGAATTGGGACTTATATACTAATTGTGGATAAGACTCGACAGTCGATAAGGTAAATGAAAAATTGAGCTAGCGCCATCATGTGGCTAATGTTAGGGACGTAACAGTTCCATAGTTTTCAACTAGAAAAAATATATGTAGTTTGCTCTCAGACTCACTCATTTCCTAGATATATATATGATTGCAAAAAATAGTGAAACCGTAAACTCAATCATTAATAATCTGTTCATAATTTCACAGCAATTTCGGTGGTGCCTTTGATGGGTTCAACACTTGATGCGTTCAGAGCAGATCGTCCCTTCGTCTTCGCAATTGTAGATCAACCAACAGGCAGTATGATCTTCGCTGGTCGGATTATCCACCCGACCCCAGCGTAGTCTCCATAATCCCTTCATTACATTACTAGAACAAAATGAGAATCTTCAACATTATTCAACAAAAAACTTTTTTTTTATTTGGAGGAATAAAGACGATGAGAACGGAGAATAATGTTCAAGGGCGAAACAAGAACTGAAGTCACAACTTATAGCATATTAATATTTTTACACTCGCATAAAATAAGTTAAATACCAGTAGTACTAGATTTTCTCCGAGGTTCTTCAAACACTTTGAGGTGAAAGATGAATATTGATGTGACATATGTATTCAAGTTTAAAACAATGATTAGTCATCTGGGAATAACGGAAGTTAAATTTTGACACATGGTAGATAACACGACGATGAATTGTGATCCGTTTTTCACGGAAAGTGAACAAAATCGTATCAAGAAATACTGGGGGAATTCCCGAACTCTGAATGTCTCTAATGCACTTGGAAACAAGTGAGAAATTGCTCTTGTATTGCTATAGTATAGTTATTTTTGGTAATAAACTAGCAATATGCTTTTGATTGGTTATTTTGCACATCATTTCCTTCTATCATGTGTAATTCATTGTTTATTTCATTTTATTAAATTGAATAAGATTTATTTTGAACTAATTTTATCAGATTTTTAACTTAAATGAAAGTTATAATCATCATTATTCTTGGTATTTTTTCTTTCTTCTATACGACCAATTGTCTTTTTCACAGCTCTATCTCTTCCCTCAGCTCTTCGATAATATCTGTAGTGAAGTGGTAAAAGGAGGTAAGTGCATAAAATGAAATTTTACAGGAGAGCAAAAAAACGGCTATGGTATCGATAGTGGGAAATTTAGTACAAATGATGCCGAATCTTTATTCTACTGTCCTTTAAGTTTTTACCCTATTATTATCAACTTGCGGAATTAATCCTTTACGCAGTTTTAAGTAGTTACCTCCAAATTTTAATTCTGTGTAGAGAGTCAAGTTGACTTAACTCGTTGGGTTATCACAAAAAAAAGAGATATGTTGACTTAGCACATGAAGTATGTAAATTTCACTAGGGGTAGGGTCAAACGTTATGAGGGTCACTAAGAGGAGGGTCAAGCGTTACGAGGGTCACTAAGGGGAGGGTCAAACCTCACGAGGGGCACGAGGGTCAAAGGTCCCGGCGGTCACTAGAGGGAGGGTCAAACGTCACGAGGGTCATTAGAGGTAGAGGGTCAAACGTCACAAGGGTCACTAGGGGGAGAATCAAACGTCACGAGGGTCATTAGGGGGGGGGGCACACGTCACGAGGGTCACTAGGAGGAGAGTCAAACGTCACGAGGGTCATTAGGGAGAGGGTCAAACGTCACAAAGGTCGCTAGGGGCAGGGTCAAATAAGGGTCAGGAGTTGAGCCTTATCCTCTTTCCTTCAAGAGGAAATCCGTAGTAGCTTTTTCTACGTTTGGGATACTTGAAAAACTATTTTTCTTCATTTTTCCAGATTTTGTCGGTGGCCCTATATGAAGATATTATTTTTCTTTCTTTTTTAGTTTTTTTCTTTTTTCAATAATTCAAGTTTTATCGATCCGATTTTGATTTATTAAGCGTCAAAATTTTCCATTTTTACATTCTATAAGAATATTAAAATCGGATTGGTAGAACTTGAATTATTGAAAAAAAAAACGAAAAATGAAAGAAAAAACATCTTTAAATTGGGTCACCAAAAAAATTTGGAAAAATAGAGAAAAATAGTTTTTCAAGTTTCCCAAACAGAAAAAGCCACTATGGATTTCCTCACGAAGGAAAGAAGGTAAAGATCAACTCCAGACCCTAATTTTACCCTCTCCCTAGTGACCCTCGTGACGTTTGACCCTTCCCCTAATAACCCTCATGACATTTGATTCTCGCCCTAGTGACCCTCGTGACGTTTGACGTTCCCTCTAATCACCCCCGTGACGTTTGACCCTCCACCTAGTCACCCTCATGACGGTTGACCCTCCCCCTAGTGACCCTCGTGAGATTTATTTTTTAGATTGGCCATTTTGCTCCCTTTGTCGTTTGTGTCCCCCTGGCCCGTTTTGCCCCCATCCTGTTTTTCAAAATAACACTTGGGGTAAGGAATTGAGTCTCTATCAATACATAAGAAGATAAGTGAAATTACCTCCTCTAGGTCCTCCCAATTATGGGAGTTATGTCAACTTACCTCCAATTGCATTGATAGAAAATTGAAACTTGCACATATCTCTTTTTTTATTTTTCATGTAGCCCCATAAAATATTATTTTTAGACCAAACCCTTCCGTCAGCATTTGCAGATCAATATTACAATGTGATTGGTGCAATAAAACAAATTTTAAAAAAAATGCAGTTACCTCGTTTTACCACTTCACTACAGATATGTTAATAGAAAAATGTTATTTATACATAATTGAATGAATTTGAAACATCAGATTTGAAAAAACCATTAGGGATCGGAACAATCTTTAATTTCAAAATAAGTTAAATTTAGCTTATGTTAACTGATAATATTACCCAACAATTTTCGATTACCAAATTAATCGAATATTCAAATTCCGAAATAATCTATCAACCAACGATTACTGAATCGTGTCAGAAGATTGACCATTACATGTCTGATCGAAAAAATCCTTTTATGAAATTTAGAACTATTTACTCAATAGTGAATAGAAAATTTAAATTATGAATTATTTTATTATCTTCAAATTACAATTAAGATAAAAAAAATATAGTAATAGAAAGGTGCAAATTGTAATAATACTACAAAATATTAAAAATGTAATGATTCTCGACTGACTGCTGAAAACCATCAGAAAGCTGCCTTTCGGGGAAATTTATGAAAAATTCGAAATTTTCAACAATCATCATAAAAATCAAATTAACCAATATAGATATCGTAATCATCTTTTAACTTCGACTTAATAGCATTAAACCAAACATTTTAAGCTATGATTGAATTTATTTGAAGCATGATATCCAAAGATATCCCGGGAATTCTGATTTTCAAAAAATACAGAATTTTTGCAAATTTTCAAATAAATCAAAATAACGATTATTGCCATCGCCTGTATCTTCGAATTCAGTCAAAAGGATATCCAAACAAATTTTTCAAGCCATCATTTAATCAACTAAGAAGATTTATTTTTTAGTTATTGTGAAAAAAACAATTTTTGAAAAATAAAAAAAAATTAAAATTAATAAATGAATTAGATATTAATTCATGGCGATTAATAGGGTTCAACAATACCTATATTTGAGGAAAAAAAAGATTCAATTCCATCGATTTATTAACGAACAATAGAAGGAAAATTTGTTTACATACGTACGCACAGACATACATTCGTACGGACACGGTCTAAAACTTGCATTTTTGGCCGTTTTGGATCATAATGAATTGATATACAGTACAACCTCGTTTATCTGGCCTTCTATCAACCGAACTTCCGCGTTGTCCGAGGCAACGGACTTGCTCAGATGATACGGAAAAACTTGGATAAAACGAATGGAACCCCAGAAACTGGTTACACCACGTTTTGTGCGCTCTTCGGTTGCCAGCTAAAAATTAACAGTGGGCCTTCGACAATCAATGAGTGAACATTGTAATGTTGCAAAAAGGGAAAAAGTCGTAGTCATGATTAAATTTCATTCTACCCTTTCAGATACATAAAAAATGATGAAAATTATCGAATTTTTTATTTCTTCCGTGTTATCCGAGTTTTCGCTTATCCGAGGTATACCCCTCCCTCACATTATCTCGGATAAACGGGGTTGTACTGTAACCCATAAAATCCAAAACCTAAATTTGAAGGATTACAGTGCGTCCACTCGGAAGCAAAAATGCAACGATCTTACTGTAAAGAAAAATTGTAATAAATGGTTATTTATCACATTGAAATAATTGCAATTATATATCTATCATTTCTTTTCCCGTTGTTTCTTTAAAATTATTCATTGTATGAATAATTAAAAGGCAGATTTGAATTTTTTTTGTAAAAATTACAAGAGATTGATTGGCCTTGCAGTCATGAGAACTTTTTGCAAAAAAAAACGTTCTCAACTACGAAGGAGATAAATTTTCTGTTTTGCTTTGAACCGATTGACTCAACAATGAGAGGTTTTGAAATTGGTCAGGCCGATGTCACCGATTTCAATAATTAATTATTCCAAAAAATGTTATTCTTTAGAAAGAAAAATTTCAAGACATTTCTGTCCCATTTTAATTTCAACTTTCGATGTCACATTCCTTGCAATTAATTCTCTTCAAAATGCTCCAACAATTTTCAGCGAATCGCCGAAAATTTGAAAAACCACCTATAATATAATAAATTAAACCCCTGCGACCTGTGACAGTGCATCCTCAGGTTGATCACCCTTTAATATCTCTTCATACGTTCTCATCAACTTGTACGTTTTTATTTGGCGGGGACTTTCGATTCGTCCCTCGCTCATCCGCATGCCGTCTGAGCGGACGGTTGGAGCTCGTAGAGACACGGTAAGTATCAGGAGAACAGGGTGTATGAAGAGAAATATTTACATTGGGTCCCTCCTGTCAATGTTATAAAGTCGTGTATCTTGAAAATCAAAGGCAGTAGCAAATAGCATCAAAAGATATTGTCTCTATGTCATTTTATTGCTTACAAATACAATCTTTTGACAATTTCAGGTTTGCGCGTATAAATTACGTTGGTAAATTACAACGTTTTTTACCAACGTAATTTACGTAAATTACTTCGACGGGTTTTTTACCTTTTTTATTTACATTACTTCGAAAAGCTTGGAATTTTCGATTACTAAAATGTTTTATTTTATTCCGACTGACAAAGATGCAGTATTGAACACATAAATACCATAAAAAATAGTTTTCATCACGCTGTGACGAAAAGTGAACTTTTCGGCACGCTCCGCGTGCCTAAAAGTCCAATTTCCGCCACATTGTGATGAAAAATATTGTTCGTAACTCGTGAAAAAATGTTGTTTAGCTCGTGGGATTATATCACTCGCTTTCGGCTCGTGATATAAACCTCCCACTCGCCAAAAGAACACTTTTTTGCATTCGTTACGAAATATACTAATATTATGTCCCCAGGACCGTAAGACCGTGGTTCTAACATCGATTCCCCCGGTTAAATCGTGGTTTCCGGGCCAGAATATATAAAACTATCTTTTCTAACGTTAATTAGCGGAAATACTTGAATGATTATATCCCATAGAATCAGCGCATGCTTTTGATGCAGTTGTCTATTTCATTTCTACATAATGAACATGGGTTGATAGATTGAAATTTGTATCAAAGTGAAGGGAATATCTTCATCTTTCAGTTTAAAAAAATCCATTTTTTTAAGAACTGGCGATTTTGGATGAATATCCTTAAGGATTCATTTATTATTATTAGGTAGCCAAAACGGAAAACTACTATCCCTTGTTTCGCATAAAACAAATATTGTTCGGGAGCAAAATACGTATGGAAGTATGGATTAACGAAGGAAGAGTGTTGGAATAGTATATTTCGATACAAGTGCGACGGGGTGGTAACGAGTGTGAAGTTGGCGGC